ACCATGAATCGAATCGTCGTCTACCACCACGATAAAAGTAATTCCATTTGACCGGACGGGGAAGAACCGTTCGTATCCCAGCCGATCTGACTTCAAGTTCAACGAGTTCAAGGGTTGAAAATCGATGCCTTCGACGTTTTTCCGTATTATAATGGCAATTTTTTTTTATACAGTTTATGAAGCATAAAACAGATATTAATAATTGATTTTGTTAATTATGAATAATGATAATAATCAACATGGAGCACAATAAATAAATATCGTGAATTTAAATAAAACAAAAATAAAAGAAAAATTTGTAACTATAACATGAAATATCACATCTGTCAAAATATTAATTTCAACAAAGAACAATTTTTCCCTTCTTTGATCTGAAACTTGACAAGAACAATGTATAATACAAATTGAAGTATAATTGAAAAATAATAACAATTTACACGAAATAATGAAACTTAAATTTTAAAAAAAAAAAAAAAGAATCTTTTCTAATCTAAAATTCATTAAAAGAATGAGTAATTCTTACGTTAATTATTAAATATAATTTATTAAAAATAATACAATAATCAACATGGAAGATCAGGACAAATTTCGACAAAGAAAAATTTTTTTTTCACTGATCTGAAATTTACCACAAAAATGTAATGTATAATTCCTCGATTCTGGCGGCATTAACATCATCATCTTATTAAGTATAACCTATAAAAAATAATAACAATTAATATGATCATGAAATACGAAATTTCAAGAAAAAAAATTTTTTTCCTCCTCGATTCAATTCGAAACTCGCCAAAAGCGACGCGAAAGGAATGCATAATTCCCGGAGAATCGTACGTGGATGACTTTTGGCGTGGGCGTCATCAACGTCACCCCGAGCAATCGAAGTCTCACCCTTCTTTCCAGCTCGCCGCAACCAGTACCGCTTCGGCGTGTTCCTCTTTTAACGGGGAAAAACGAGTGGCGGCACCCCGTAGCTGTTTGACTTAATTTTATGAGGGGTCGCTCAGGACATGGAGGGCGGTATACCCACCTCCCTGTGACGCCGCAGTTGGCCGAAAGGAGGAGGGGGGGAGGGGTGGAATCCACGACG